AATGCTCAAAAAGGCTTTTCCATGTGTATTCTCCATGTGAGACTCTTAAGGTTTGGGTAAGACTCTATCTAGATTTTAGGTTCACTATATGCTGGGTTCGGTTATAAAGTAAGAGGTTCTCAAATTGTCCTTTTCGGTGCCCCTTGGGCTGTCGAACCCTCAATCTTGGCCCATCACAGACTTTCAGATCAAGTTCAATTCCAAGGGACACACCTCCTTATTTTTTCCATACGGAGGTGAAAACCATCACGAGGACCATAAGGCTTGAGCCCCAGGAGCGATTCATTATCCCATACGGAGGTGAAAACCACACGAGGGAGTAGCTTCTCACTCCTAATTAAATAGAGCGGAGCGGGGTTTTTGCTTATGTTATGCAAATGCAGCTGTGCATTGTATGAGGAAAAACGAAAATAAAGAAATCAACACCAAACAGAAGTCCCAAAAACTTGAACATTTTATTCACTCTGAAAAACATAAACAAACAAATCAATATAACTATTTAGTGGTTTAATCAAATCATAAACACTTATTTAAACCAAACAAGGGATCAAAAACCAATTTAGAACAAACTTGTAATTTTCATTCGCAAAAACAATTAATTAATTGACTATCAGCCTGACTCTCTAAAAAAGTCCCCAGCGGAGTCGTCAAGCTGTCGAAACGGTTTTCTGAATGAGGAAAAAAGGGGTATCGCTTCGAAATAATTTTTTTCTGATCGGTTAACAATAAAATGTGGTTCGAGGAGTCGCTACCAATATTTGATTAGGGTGTGATTGGGTAACCAAAAAATATTTGTCATTTTAAAAACATTCGTTTTAATTAAAACAACAAATTTGTAGTATGCGTTACCAAAATTCGAGTCCGGGAGTCGGTTACATATGTGGAAGTATTAGCACCCCCACAACACCCTAAATCGATACCTAGTCGATTAATTAGTTGTCTTTGCAATAAAATTTACGAGTTTGAATCTGATTTAAATTAAGACCCCCTACAAATAACATTCTTTGAATTTTTGGACGAAACATGGTAATATTAAAATTCTATTCCAAACTTCACTATTAGTTCAAAATATCAACACCCAAAATAACTTTAAGAGAGAAAACGATTATCTATAATTATTTCCAATCGAGAATAAATAACTTTTCATGCCTAAAAACAATCATTTATTACTCCAATCGAAATGAAGAGATACTACTATTTCTTCTTAAAATTCAATATCGATTCGAGTGGAAACGATAATATCTAATGATTTCGATCGAGAATAAATGACCTCTCATACCTTAATGCAGTCATTTATTGCTCCAATTGAAATGAAGAAATAATTCTACTCTCACTATCGATTCAAGTGTTATTATTTTGAAAACCCATTGGAAAACACATGAAAAAATAATGCAAATTAAAAGCATATATCAAGCAAATATAATTAATTATTTATTTTACCAATATTTAATGAGAATAAGAATGTTCAATTATTTAAATACCTCGAGACAAGACCTTAGATTCGATCTAACAGTCTTTTCTCGGTGAATTTAATTAAAAGAACATGATATTTTCCCAATCCCCAAATTTTAAAATGAGTTCGATTTAATTTATGTCACTAAATGAGATATACTTTCATTTTAAAATTATCGAAAGTAACTTTCTTATACGTTAAGACAGTGACTTTATGACAATATTAAAATGAACAAATATTACCCTTAGTCTTAAAAGTTATTATTATATGTATATTTTGGCAATAAACTTATCAAGTAAATCACAAAAAATATCTTATATGTATATATCTATATTTTGGGACATAAAACAATAACTAAATATGTATATAGTAATATACTATAGTCTTAAAAGTTAATAAAATGAAGATATTAATTTTAAAACCCGATATTCGTACAAAAAACATAACAAATAATCAAATAATATATATATATATAAATCAAATTAAGATAGCAGGGTCTAAACATGCAAATAAACTAAACTAAATCTAAGCAGGGACTAAAATGCAAGCCTACAAACATGAAAGACTAAGATACAATTTAAATAAATTAATCATGCTTGGTAAATAAAGATTAAATCATAAAAACAATAACTTGAGAAACTAAACTACAACATCAACAACAATAAAGGAAACAACCGAAAATACCAAACAATACTAGTACTAAATGAAAATAAACCATAAACAATGTTCATGGCTAAAATAAAATAAATCAGAAACTTGAAAGAACACAGAATAATTCTACATAAAGATATTCATGCACAAACAATGACTGAAATGCAAGGCGCGTAAAGTATAAAGACAAAATTTAAAAGAATCGAAATAGCTTGATCATGATATACCCATGAGCATTACTTTATCATATCAAATAATTGGATTAAGGGTAATACTCTTTCATTTTAAAATCGTTGTGAGAAGACTGTCTTAACTTATAAGGAAGTCACTTATGATGAGTTTAAAATGAAAGCGTATCCCAAAAGTGAAACCCCTAAAATTTGACCCCGCCTAAAATTTGACCCCGCCTAAAATTTGAGAACTAAAGAAAAGAAAGGTTCGTCTATTTAAATTCATCGAGAAAAGATCGTTAGAACTTATCTAAGGTCCGATCTCGGAGTCTTTAAATAATCGAATATCTTTCTTCTTTCTAAAAGGATTGGCAATTTCGAATTTAAATTGATTTATTTTACCACTGTTCATGCATTTTGATTCAACAATGAATTTTTTCCAATGGAATTATAATATTTCTTTATTTCAATTGGAGTAAGAATTTATTGCCTCAAGGTATGAGGGTCGTTTCTTCTCGATAGGAAATAATTAAATATTATTAAGTTTTGTTCTAAATTCATAGAATATTGTTTTAAGGGATCTTAAACTAAATTAAATTCGAACTTGTAATTTTCATCAAAAGACAATTAATTAATCGACTAGGTACCGATTTTGAGCGATGTGGGGGTGCTAATCCTTGCTCACACGTAACCGACTCACGAACTCAATTTTCTGGCACGCATACCGTAAATTTGTTGTTTTAATTAAAATCAATATTTTTATTAAAATGACAAATATGTTTTTGGGTGCCCAATCACACCCTAATCAAATATTGGTGGCGACTCCTCTAACCGTATTTTATTTTATTTAAAGGGAATCCCAAATTTTTCGAAGCGAGAGATTTTTTAAAATCACATTACTTTTTAATTAAAAATTAATCAAAAGATAATTTAAAAATGTGTTTTTTAAAAAATCTGGAAAAAAATCATCTCAACAAGTATAAAAATAAGTGACTAAATTATATCTCGAAAAACATTTTAGTGTCTAAACTATTTTTTCTAAAAATAGGTGCATAACGTTTTTCCGTTACCATTTTAGGTGACCGGGCGTTAACGTTGTTATAAATTTTCGTCAAGCGACACGTGTCACGTTATGGTAATCCCCCTAAATCTATAAATTCCTAGACATAAATCCTTCAAACCCCTAAAACGAAATCTTTCATTTACACTATTTTGGGTTTTCGATCGGTTGCGAAACTATGAGGATTTTAGTGGTGGGTGGTTGGTCAGTCACACGTCGTAGGGTGTTCAGCCGATTAACGGCATTGGTGGCGGCCGACAGTGACAACGGGAGTAAAATTAAAGTTTTAAAAGTTTTAATTTTTTTTTAGGATTTGAAAAAATTTAAGTTTTAAATTCTTTAAGCTCTAAAACGTTTTTCGAAGCATTGTTCGGGTACTTATTTTTGTGTTAACCCTTTTTTTCATATAAAAAAAGTTATCCGAAATAAATAATTGCACTGATGTGGTAATAATCCAAGTTATTTTGATGCGTGTAGAAAGTAGGAACGGAGATTGCCTACCTTATCTTATCGAAAAAGAAAAAGAGAAGCATGAAAATCACATGCGAATGTAATTAATATACACGGTTTCTAAGAAGAAACTAACGGGAAATTTTGACTATTAATTTAAAATTGTCAATTTTTTCAAAATAAAGTTATAATTATTTTTTAACTTAATTGTTTTAAAAAAATGATTATGACAATGATAATAACAAAAGTTATCATGATCTTTCTAGGTATTAGGAAGACAGATTTGATCCTATAAAATAAGAAGAGAGTGTGAAAAAGGCAACACGATGACCGGAGTTGATAAACGGCCGATGACTAATATCTATAGTAGAAGTGATGGACGGCTGCTATGTATTTAGGGATTTACTAAAATGGAAATAGAAAGGAAATAATTTATTAAATTTGTATTTTTCAATCAAACGGTATTACAAAAGCTTAGCTCTTTAACCCACTGTATTAGTGGGTTTCTATACTCAAAGATTCAATTTCAACAATCATTCAATATTATACAACTAAATTAATAACTTGATAATTAACTAATTATAGCTAACTTAATCTTATTTTTTAACACTCTTCAATTGTTCGAATCCTACCACCGTCACTCTTGACACCTACATAAATCTCAATTAAGTTTTAGGTATGCTCTGACTCTGGACTGAGAGAATCACTCCTGACCTAAATTTTTTGTAACAAAAAAACACTCTTCAATTCAACAGTGTCGACCCAATAATCTTATCTATTTCTCCCTCTACCTCAACAATTTTTTCTTTTGCTCAGGACCCTCAATTAGTAACTGTAGCTCAATACCCAAATTAGATGTTAAAATTCACCAACAATCAAGATGATTTTTTTTCTTTCATACAAAGTTTACGTGTCACATTTTAATGGTTCCCAACTTTTTTAACACGAAAGAAAATAAAATTTATTAAATATAATTATTTTATTTTATTAAAACGAAATCTTGTAAGCCTTTGAGAAGCATGAAAATCATATGTGGGTTTATATAGATTAATTAAATTAAATTAAGTCCATTTGAGAAGAGGATTAAAATAAAGACAAGTGATGGCTATCCTGTAAAGCCTTTGAGGGGAACTTTGCCTATAAATAAGAGCATATCCCAGGAAAGGATATATCATTCAAAGCAAGCAGAAGAATAGGCCAAAAAGAAATAAGAAGAATGGAGAGATCAGTAATTAGGGTTATACTAATTAGCTGCATTGTGATGTTGGGGTGGGCAATAGGTTCTTCCATGGCTGCTGAAGATGCGACAGCTTATTGGACGGACTACAAGGTTATAGAGAATGACTGGAGTCTGAAAAAGGTAGGCGTTTACTGCTCCCAGTTCCTGAATATGCATATAAGCCTTTGGAATGGCGCAGCAATATTATTGGACCGCCTTCTGTGGACCGGAGATTTCTAAGCCACAATCAAGATGTGGACTCTGCTTAAAAGTAATCGCCCTTTGTTTTCAAGCAAAATAAATTTGTTTCTGTTTTACTAGAAACCATGCGTGCATGAATTGACAGAATGCATATATGCATGCAGGTGACCAACACTGCCAATGGAAAAAGCGTGACGGTGAGAGTGCTGGATACATGCCAAGCCAAGTTTGGATTTGGACTATCCAGCGTTTTCTGAGATCATGGATGACAAAGGCCTGCAAGACGGGCATCTTACAGTGAACTATGAATTTGTGGATTGTGGTGATGATCCTACAATTCGTCTCCATCATGAAATCTAATATTTAACTTTAAATTTCGTTTTAAACCTCAGATCCCCCACTTGGTTTCATGATCAACATATTAGATAAATAAATAAATATGCAGCTACTGCATGTAATAGCTAGCTAGCTAGAATTGCTTGCTTGCTCTTCAGTTTGTAATAATGATCATCCTGCATAACAAGTGTACGTGGGATTCCTGATCACTGCTTAATTATCAACTCGTTTGCTTGCTTGTATGCATTACTCTCTATTGCAGCTCCCAAGGTCCATAATATCATTATTATCTAATTATAGCATCAGGTTCATTCATTTATCTCCTCATTGCCAATTTAAGAATAATCTTAGTCATATTAAAAGTCAAAATTGCAAATTTAAGTTAAATACTTAAGCACTCGTTGTTTCTTATTTTGTTGCAACAAGACATGGACTAACAGTATACGAGGCAAAAGATGATCTGATATGTTCTTGTAGTCACCATTTTTCAAACGTTATTATATTATTATTATAATAAAATATTATTATTATTATTTATTACAAACAGGGCCCAACATATAAAACCAAACCCAAATACAAATTAGAATACCCGAAGCCCGTAAGAGGAGGCTCAGGTGGATTAGGGTTTTGTGTTTTTCTCTTCAGCCACCAAAAGCCACAACCGTTGGATCAGATCTAATCTGATGGTCCAGATCAGCTGCAACATTAGGGTTTCATCATTAACCCTAAATGGTGTAGTAGCCGTTGGCATCATCACCAAAGACAACATTGCCGCCAAGCGATTCCAGCCGCCAATTCCAGATCTGTCTCGTCACCCAACCACGCCGATCGTCGAAGCCATCTTCATGTCGGAGCCACTAAACCAAGTCTCAACAAAATCCCAACACAACCCCGAAAAATCCAGGGCATTAAAAATGCAAATCACCATCGTCCATAGGCAAACAGTGAATGTCAGAGGAGCAAGTAGAGATTAGGTCTAATTTTTGTAAAAAAATATGTGTATTATCTTTGTAAAATTCGGATATAAAAACCCATAAATCAACATGTAAAAGGGAACTCCCCTCGTTTTAGAGAGTAATACAAAAGCAAATAATAATAATAATAATAATAATAATAATAATAATAATAATGTAAAAACATTTTTTTTTATTTTTCTTTAGCAAGTTTCGAATATAAAAAAATAAAATATATTAAAAGGGGTAAAAGAGTTTACTAGAGAGGGGGAAAGCTTCGCGTCGTCGGGGGGTTCACCGGAATAGTGGAAACCGAAAGGTCAGGTCTTAGTTTAAGGGGTATCTAGGCCTTGCTTAGGGGGGTTTTAGTTTCAATTTGGGTATAGGTGAATAGGTCGGGTTGTTTAGAGTTTTTCTGGATTGTATAGGAACTCCGGTCACCGTGGGTGGTGGTCGAAACTGCGGTCGGGATGGAAGTGTGGGGTCTAATGAGGCTACCCGGCGAGAGGAGAAGAAGGAGTTGAGAGAGATAAGAGGGTTTTTTAAGGATGGGTTACAAGTGAAAAAAGAAAAGAAAAGTGGGTATTATAGTGAAACTTTAGGGGTTAATTTTATTTTAGTCCCCGTACTTATACCGTGTTTTTATACTCCGGTCCTGGATTTTCGTTTGTTTTATTTTAGTCCCAAAGTTTTTGTCATGGTTGTGTGCTTTTCCCTTTTATGTTTACTTGTTAATTTTAGGGTTAATTAGCTTCTGGACATTGAATATTGTTGGATTATTTTCTTTTAAGTCCTTAAACTATGTTATGTTTGTATGTTAGTGACTATTCACTTGGTTTTTTTTTCGTTTATTTGTATTTGATGTAATATTTTAGATTTTTATTTTCGTTCTTGTTTCTTTAAAATATATATATATATATATATATATATATATATTATTTCATAGTTTTTCTTAATTATATTTTAATATTTGGTTGTAAACATTTAATATAAAATATATAATATAATATTATATGTAGATAGAATAAATATATTTTGGATGTTTGGTGGGTTTTTCTTATTTACTTAGTATTAAATATGTAACATATATATATATATTTAACAAAAATTCTTATAAATGTTTGTCATTAAAAAATATTTTTAGTATTTTAATAAGTACCAATGTTGAAAAATAATAGTTACCATTAATATTATAAAATTCACCGTTAATTATTCAACTAACCTATGGAAGAGCTCCAAATACCTGGAGTGCCCTTCCAAGGGTTATTTGAATAAAATTAATATTTTATTGTTATTCAATATGTGTTTGTATTTTATACATAAATATTTTTCTAGAAAATATATTTTATATGTATTTATTGTATTCTTTTCATTATTCATTTGTTACATATTTGAATATTTCATTCGTTTTATACTTGTCATTTATCATCGTTGCACATTCATTTCACTGGTGTAAGTCAATATTAAGTTTCCCTGCAGTAATTATGTGATAAGTTTAGTGCTAGAATTACATATTCATTTCACTGGTGTAAATCAATGTTAAATTTCACTGCGGGAATTATGTGATAAGTTTAGTGCTGGAATTACGTATTCATTCACTGATGTAAGTCAATGTTAAGCTTCAAATTTTAGTGTTGGAGCTATATATCACAGATGCAAGTCAATATTAAGTTTCGCTGCTGGAATTATGTGATAAGTTTAGTGTTGGAATTACGTATTCATTTTACTGGTGTAAGGCAATGTTAAATTTCATTGTTAGAATTAGGTGATAAGTTTAGTGCCGGAATTACGTATTCATTTCATGTCAAAACTTTTTTCCGAATGGGAAAAAAGGGAGTATCGCTCCGAAATAATTTTTTTGTGACTGGTTAACGATAAAACGTGGTTCGACGAGTCGCCACCAATCTTTGATTAGAGTGTGATTTGGCACCCGAAAAGTATTTGTCATTTTAAAAATCTTCGTTTTAATTAAAACAACAAATTTTCGGTTTGCGTTACCAAAATTCGAGTTTGGGAGTCAGTTACATGTGGGGAAGGATTAGCATTTAGCACCCCTACAACGCCATAAATTTGTACCTAGTCGATTAATTAGTTGTCTTTGCAATGAAATTTACGAGTTCGAGTATGATTTAATTTAAGATCCCCTACAAATAATATTCTTTGAATTTTTGGACGAAACATGGTAATATTTAATTATTTCCTATCGAGAAGAATCAATCTCTCATACCTTAAAGAAGTCGATTCTTACTCCAATCGGAATAAAGAAATATTAAAATTCTATTCCAAAGTTCACTATTAGTTCAAAATATCAACACCCAAAATAATTTTAAGAGAGAAAACGATATCTAATTATTTCCAATCGAGAATAAATAACATTTAATGCCTAAAAATAGTCATTTATTATTCCAATCGAAATTAAGAGATACTACTATTTCATTTTAAAATTCAATATCGATTCGAGTGAAAATGATTATATCTAATGATTTCTAATCGAGAATAAATGATCTCTCATACCTTAAAGCAGTCATTTATTTCTCCAATTGAAATGAAGAGATATTGATATTCTCAATATCGATTCAGGTGTTGTTATTTTGAAAACCCATTGGAAAACACATGCAAAAATAAAGCAAATTAAAAGAATATATCAAGCAAGTATAATTAATTATTTATTTTACCAATATTTAATGAGAATAAGGATGTTCAATTATTTAAATACCTCGAGACGGGACCTTAGATTCAATCTAATAATCTTTTCTCAGTGAATTTAATTAAAAGAACATTTCTTTTTCCCAATCCCCGAATTTAAAAATGGGTTCGATTTAATTTGTGTCACTAAATGAGATATACTTTCTTTTTAAAATTATCGAAAGTAACTTTCTTTTTAAAATTATCGAAAGTAACTTTCTTTTTAAAATTATCGAAAGTAACTTTCTTATACGTTAAGACAGTCATTTTATGACAATATTAAAATGACCGAATATTACCCTTAGTCAATTTATTGATTCAAGTCAAGTTATGCTCATGAGGTTGTTATACAAATTATTTAAAACTAACAACCTAAACTTATGCAGTAAATCAAAAAAATATCTTATATGTATATATGTATATTTTGGGACATAAAACAATAACTAAATATATATATAGTAATATACTATAGTCTTAATAGTTAATAAAATGAAGATATTAATTTTGAAACCCAACATTCGTATAAAAAACATAACAAATATATATATATATATATATATATATATATATATATATATATATATATTTAAAAGTGGTCTAAAATAAACCCAATTAAGATAACAGGGTCTAAACATGCAAATAAACTAAACTAAATCTAAGCAGGGACTAAAATGCAAGCCTACAAACATGAAAGAGTGAGATACAATTTAAATAAGGTAATCATGCTTGGTAAATAAAGAATAAATCATAAAAACAATAACTTGAAAAACTAAACTACAACATCAACGACAATAAAGGCAACAACCGAAAATACCAAACAATACTAGTACTAAAATGAAAATAAACCATAAATAATATTCAGGGCTAAAATAAAAAAAATCAGAAACTTGAAAGAACACAGAATAATTCTACATAAAGATATTCATGCACAAACAGTGACTAAAATGCAAGGCGCGTAAAGTATAAAGACAAAATTAAAAAGAATCGAAACAGCTTGATCTGAGGACCAAAATGAACTAGAGGGGAAAACTAACGTGACCCCTACAACAATAAACCCATTTTCGTTTCATGACCGAAACAAAGAGATTACAAGTACAAGGGACCTAGGATACGATTAACCCCTAAAGGCTTAGAAAACATGAGTTACTCTAGGCCAAAACGATGTCGTTTTGAGGGGTTTAAATACCCCTCTTATGTGATTTTCGACTGAATCCTTCCCCATTTCAACTTCCAACCGCATTTAACCCCTCGTTCCCCCTTTAACTTTCTCTCCTTCGAACGAA